GCATTTAACAAGGTATATAAATAGTTAATATAAATCTGATCATACCACAATCCATTATTTCATACCATTACAAAAGAACAAACACATTAATGAGCTTTTATTCAAAACAATTATATATATATATAAACTTCCAAAAAAATTCCATATTTTCCATCCTCACATGGATGGGCAAATAGGCACCTTATAGTTTCCACATTTATTATCCTCACACGATCGGGCATGCAGACACCTCAAAACATTTCTCACATTTGTCGTCCTCACACAATCGGGCACGTGGGCACCTAATTTTCCCATGCGGGTACCAAATACAATACACAACATGTCATGTAGTTAATAACTTTCTCATCACAACAAATTTCTAAAATATTCCTCGTCGCATTGTTTCCTAATGTATCATTATGGCATCAACTTCATTTCATCAAAAACATCAATTTTGAACCCAAAAATCATACACTAAGGTTTTGTAAAATTTGGGGGTTTTGTTCATATCCCTTATTAATCAATGAATCATCAAGCCAATACCTATTCTTACCAACACATTCAAAATAATTCAAGAGGTTTGAGTGAAACCCCATTTTTTTAAAACATCACACCCCTTCTCATCAAAATCATTTATCTTATACATCATTATGTTTAAAGAAATATCACATAATCATATCAAAATATAGATATAAAAGTTAAAGGTATTCGTACCTTAAGGAAGAGAGAGATGGATTGAAGACCCAAAAGTTAATGGTGACAAAAACACGATCCACTTACACCCAAATGTAGCTCTCGACGTGCTCTAACTTTTATCCTCAAGAACTTGACAATGGTAGAGAGAGAGAGAGAGAGAGAGAGAGAGAGAGTAAGAAAAAGTGAGAAAAGAGATATAAGGCACCTCTATTTATAGTGGGGGGTAAAATGAGTCATGGGGCCCAAGAATACATAAAATATTAAGTCAAAAATCTAAAAGTGGGGCCCAAAAACGTGGTTGGAAGTGTTTGGGTTTGTAGCAAGTGTCGACACCATGAAGAAGGGTGTCGACCCTCGTGTATGCGGCAGTGAAGTGGAAGGTTCAAAGCAGACAAGGTGTTGACCTTGGATTGCCCTGGTGTCGACCCAAAAATAGTAAGTATCACTTCTAATTCCAATCCAACGGTGTCGACACCCATAAAGGGCGGTGTCAATCCTAGAAAGAAGAAAGCAACTATGACAAAAATCAGTTACACTAGTGTCGACACCCAAAAGAAGAATGATCAAGGAGAAGGGAAGGGGAGTAAGTGTCGACACCCAGATTTGATTCCTAAGATTCTGAAACATCTTTTGACAAGCCCCAAGAGCGAATTAACCTTCCAATCAGGCATAGATTCGAATATCTCACACTACCAATCATCCAAAAATATTAACTAAAGATTCAAATGCCAGAACAACGATATTAAATATATTCTGCAGGTATTTTAATTCACAAGCATTACACTCATTCATACAAAAAAAAATATTAGATAGTTTCATAATATTATGTGATATTGTTTATATGTTGTGTTTTTGACAAATGAGAACTCAAAAAATTCACACTAAGTGGATTAACCTTTGTAGATATTAACTTATAAAAATGGTACCTAAGCTATTAATTTAATTTTTAAAGTTACATCGAAACTCATTTGATATCGGTTCAAAAGATGAAAAAATTATAAAACTAAAAAACTTGTGAGTAGAACTTTTTACTGCCCAACATAAAATAGGATAAATTATGCTTTTGACTAAGGAGAATGCAAAAAAATAAAAAAATAATAAATTTGGACTCCCATTCAATTAATTAAGATGAGTCAGTTTAGCTTACCCATCTCAAACCACAATTATTATTGACCATAAGGCATCATGTCAACATGATGAATTAGTACTCCAAGATTACAAATGTTAGAATCAGAACCATCATCTCTCTTAAATTCAATTGTTGTTAAGGGGATTTCACTACACTTTGTTTGAATTAAGAGATTTAGAGAGAAAAGGAAAGGGGAAAAAAAATCAAGCTCTTTTTGGAAGTGTTCTGGAATTATATTTCCAGACCACGTTTTGCACTTCACGTTTGGATACAGAACTCAAATCATAATTCTAGCACACAATTCAAAATACAACTCTGTTTATTGTTTGGCAACGATTTCCCCCCGTTTCTCTGCAGCACACAATTTCAACGGTCCAAAATATGGATCAGCAATAATCCTAACACTGAATACCTTCACGGGAAAGCACGCTAAAATTTTGAAAAGCATTCTCTGAAAAGCATTCTCTGAACTTTGAAATTCAGCCTTCACGGGTTGTATTCACGGGTCGCCTTCTTCCCCTTCTTAGATCACAAGTGTTCAAGGCCCGTAAATCGCAACAATGTCTGTGAACCCCCGCTCCACCTATAAAATCTGATCTTTCAGATCTCATAACCGAAGTGACTTACAGTTTGTGCATTGTGGAATATTCACCCTCCGAGCAACGAAACAACGACGAGAGCGAGGTGAATTACATCACAAATGGTTCTGAAATATACAATTAGAACTCAGAATCCTTCAGTAGTTTTTCCATTTATGCTCAAATTATCTGTGCAGGCCAAATTTGTCACAACTTTTCGCCAATCAAACGGTCACCAACGAAGAAGCCCACAACAACGCACAGTACCCACTCCATCACCGATGACAATTTTTGTACTTCTATTATTCAGGTACATGTGCCTTCAACTGATCTGCTTATATGTATCCATACTTTAATTGCTCTGTGTAATGCCTGCGTTGTGTAATGCTTGCGTCATAAGCCAACATGTGAAAGCTTCAAACCAGTCAGTCACCGGGTCAACCAACCAGTCGGCCCACCGGTTGTCCCGCCAGTCAACCCTGGCACCCTTTCCCCAGCTCTCCTTCTACTATCCACTTCTACCCTCAGTCTGTTAGTCAGCTTTTGTTTCGCATACTTTTTATATACAATATCCTATTTTCCTTTCTTAGATCTGTGTCAGTGTAGCCTTTCAACAGCTTCAGCTTCAGTGTATGCATCAGAGTGATTGTTATTGTGATATATGAAAAAATAATTCATTTGTTGTACACTAAAACAAAAGTTTTACACTAAAACAAAAAATGGCCATAATAGTCAATAGATCACAAGAGAAGGAATTTATTTATATATTTACATATATTACAAGGTGGTGTTACCAAAAATCATTTTAGATGATCCATGATTCGTAATCTATGCAGTTGTAAGTAGGCATTTTCCACTGAAAATAAGCACATAGTTATACCCCTTCCATTTAAAGTTCAGTACTACAACCACTTCAAGCATATGAATTATAAAACTCTTAACCTAACAGATTGTTTGGATGGGAATGTACTATATCAATTGACTTCCGAATTTTCCATTATACTAATTGTCTGGGCACTGTCATTGTTGTTGCTATTGAAGATGACAGTTCTGTTAACAGGGTTGTGCAATTTGTAATATATATATTTCAAAATTATTGTTGTCTGTCGTAGGTATCGTTTGTGTTGTGTATATATCACTCAGTGCTTCTGTTTTCATGCGATTGGGATTTGCCACAAACAATCTGTGTTTTATTATTTTATCTGTTTTTCTTCATACTGTGAACAACTTTATTTCAACAATGTTTTTGTTGTATCTGTTATTCTCTACGCTGTTAACAACTTCAAACGAATAATTTTTCATTATTTTCAAACCAACTTGCACACACTTCTTGCATCGTTATTTTTCAATATACATTTCAGACTTTTGTAGTTATAAATTCTGTGTTGTTAGATGGATAGCAACAATTCTGATGATAATCAGGATACAAGAATGTGGAGTTCTAGAATTGAAATGAAATTCATTAACATGTTGCGAGCCGAGGTTCAAAAAAATCAATCAATAAGCCGTAGTACTGTGTGGATAACTAGGCATTGGACTCATTTTGCCACGCAATTGCAAAATTTATACGGCTTTCGATACACACCAAATCAAGTGAGACAAAAATATCAGCGACTAAAAACTGATTACCAAACCTTCAAAAAGTTACAAGCACAGACCGGTTTGGGATGGGATCCAATTGCAGGCACGGTTGTTGCATCAGATGAATTTTAGGATAAGGTATTGCATAATTCGTTTCCTTTTATTAATGTATTCTTTCATTTCATCACACATTTACCTTTGTTGTAGGCAACAAAAAATGTGAAAAAATTTAGGGCAAAAGGGTTTGAGTATTTTCAAGAAATGTTAGAAATCATGGAAAATTGTTATGCCACAGGGGCATTGGCCCGTGCATCCACACAAGGAGCCCTTGATTCTGATGAAGAGAACGACATGCTTAATAAATTTTGGTCGCCTGGAGCTGGTGGGAGTAATGCGGCTGAACCTGCTGCTGTTGACCTTTTCGGCGATGACTTTGTACAACCATCGAAAGGTAAAAGTCACAAGAGGGCCCTTGCAAGTAGCCAGACTGATAGCGGCCGTTCGAAAAGATCACGGTCTAGTGGCTTTGATGATGTTTGTGCAGCTTTCACTACATACGTACAGGCAAGAACGAAACATTCTCGTGCCCGGTCAATAGAAACGGAGGCTGTAAGTGCATGTGGTGATGATTATTCCCTTGATGCATGTCAAGATGCACTACTAGCACTTGGGGACATTCCACCAGTGCATTACATTAGGGCACTGACACTATTCAAGGACAAGGAATGGAGGAGGTTTTTCATGCGGACTCCTTCCCATATGCGCCAACCTATGATCCTAGCTTTGCAATGAGGGGGAAAGTTCTGCATTGATGGGGCATGCGATTCTCTTTTTCGTTGTGCAATATGAGTTCATGATGTCTATTTTGTTTTTATTATATTTCCTTTCCACCTAATGACATACTATTTTTCTTCCCATCTTTCTATGTTTCTTGCTGTATTTCGCTGAGACTATTGTTGTTTTATGTACGTTACTTCATGTCTACTTTCTTATTTCTACTTCAATTTTCAATGTCACACATAGTGTAGACTACGATAATGGCCATTATGGTTTTTAATTTTGCGTTATTGCCATGTAGCCAAAACAATATGTCATTCGACCAAGAACACCATGGTTTCGAGAGTTCATCAAAGGACGATGACGTTGTTGAAGATTTTATGGATTTCTTGATGATTTCTTGTATGAATGAGTAGTTGAATTCGACAATCACTGGACGCCCGCAACGCACTTGTCAATTTAAAGGTGATGATTACATCTTCAGCTTATTAACTGGGCATCCAGAAACAATGATGGACATTATGCGCATGGATGCACAAACATTCATTCTATTAAAAGATACCTTACTTCAAAATGGCTTTATCGAAATTGAACATATGCATATCAGTGTGGAAGAATCGCTTGCCATTTTTTTGTACACTTTTGCACAAAATGACCGACATAGACTACTAGCCGATAGATTTCAACACTCCACTGAAACAATTTGTCGGCATATCAAAATCATTATGCGGGCACTCTGTAAGCTTGCAACAACGGTTATCAAACCACATAATGAAGATGAAATTTCGGCAAAAATTTTAAACGATAGGAGGTTTTTTCCTTGGTTCAAGGTATGACCACATGTTTGTTGTGTAATTTTCCAATCACATTTTCTACCAACAATTTTTTTTTTTACTGTTGTGAAGTTAATATCTAAAGTTATGTTGCGTTTACTGTCGAACGTTTACATCTGACATAGGATTGTATCGGTGCTATCGATGGGACTTTGGTGGATGCGTGGGTCCCTGCTGCAAGACAGAATACATTCCGTGGTCGCAAAGCTACGGTAGCGCAAAATGTACTAGCAGCTTGCGACTTCGACATGTTTTTCATATTTATCAATTCTCGATGGGAAGGTAGCGCCCACAACGACGCAATTTTGGTTGACTTAATCACAAGAGCTGATCTACATTTCTCACACCCTCCCCATGGTAAGTGTCACCAAAAAACACATTGTACTGTTTGTAATGTTCTGTTTTCTACACCTGTACTTCACTGAGCATTGCCTACATTTTGGATATGTAGGCAAGTATTATTTAGTTGATGCCGGCTTCACGAACATGCCTGGATTTCTTGCCCCATATCGTTCCCAACAATATCACTTGCAAGAGTTTCATGGCCGTGATTATTTTGGTCCCAAGGAATTGTTTAATCATCGACATTCGTCATTACAGAATGTCATAGAAAGAACATTTAGTGTTCTGAAGAAGCGCTTTCCAATATTGCGGTCCATGCCAAATTACAAGTCAACAAGACAAGGACCCCTAGTGATTGCATGTTGTGTAGTACATAATTGGATCCATTTGCATTCAGCGATGGACCCATTGTTCATGGAAGTTGACAATGAAATGGCGGCTAAAGCAACTGCAGAAGGGTTTCTTGGCGGCGAAGCAAATTATGTTGATATGTCACAACATGGGTTGACGTACCAATCAAACTTCAGGGATGCACTTGCTATTGCTATGTGGCAAAATCATGTTAGCCATGGGTAGATATGTGATGTGAAAAAATACATACATATTTTGTAGTATGTATGTATTAGTACAAGCTAATTTCGTTGTATGTATGTATTAGTACAAGCTAACATATGCAACTGCTTGTTAATTTCGTTGTACATCTCATTCGTAACACAGAAATGTAACCAAACAATTAAAGTTCATTCCTCTACTCCCGTGCAGCTAAAAAAATTCAACATTCATTGTAATTCAAAAACTGAGAAAAATTAATGGCCAAGTACAGTATTATAAAGTGCAGTAAAACAAAAATATTTTAAAAAAACATTATGCAGATTTTTTTTCCTCCTCATTATGGTTCATTTTGCAGCATAACAATGATGATGATAAGTATTGAAAGGTATTTTATTTGGTTCTTAAATTTGAAGTTAACAGATTTTTATAAGTAGTTAATTGTTAACCTTCTTTTTTCATTGTTATTGTTTTTACAACTAGGAATTATAAAAGACAGCCATTACATATGTGACATCGAAAATCCTTGGAAAATGTGCATAGTTGGTATGTAAAAGTGAACAACGATACATCCGTAACCTATTTGTACATACAGATACGGGAAAAAAAGCATATTTATTTTTCATCCCATACAATAGCTCATCTAAACACATTAAAAGTCATTGCCCGGTGGTGGTGAAGGGAAGTAATGTTGGTACATGTCATGTACATGATGCTCAATTTGGTCCATGCGATTGTTTGCCGCTTCATGACATCTATCAGTTTCCAAACGGAACTCACCAAGCTATTGAATTAATGAGTTCTGCGCAGTAGCAAATGCATCGAACTGATTACCCAACGGATCAAACTGAGTACCCAATGCACTGACTTGATTAGCCATTTGATGTTCCCATTGCACGCGTTGGTTATGTCGTTCTTCTTGAATGGCCAAAAAATCAGTTCAATATTGGGGTGGTTCAGTTGATGGCATCGCAATGTCAGGATCGTCTTCTGGGGCATCATCTGATGAGACATCTACAGTAAGAGTTTCCATTAAATTGGCAGCTCCACCAACATGGGTAATTGTATACTCTGAAATGGCAAAAGAGATTTTGGTCTCTAGTTCACCTACAAAGCGGATCTTAAAATGTTTAAAGATTTTAGTAAGCAAAGCACCAAAAGGCAGTGACCGTCCACTGAATTGACCAATCTTTGCTAATACCATTTCTTTCATTATTATGTAGCACAAATCTATTTTATGGCCAACTTCAAAACAGTATAGCAGATACGCATTAAAATATGGAACAGCATGAAAATGTCCTCTATTCGGGGTGACATTTTCGACTATCCACCGATGGAGAATCAGAAGGTACGGTTTCAGATGTCTTGCAAGCAAATTAGTCCCCGTAAATCTGTCTTGACAAATAGTTGTATATAGTTCACTGACATCACCAACAACATCATGTAAGTTAGACTCACTATGAAAATATATACGCGTATCCACTTCCTTAACTCCAAGAATATGTGCTAAAGTGGAGATGTCAACTGAATACCGTTACCTTTCACATAAGATAGAATATTAAAGTTGCCATCTTCTTCAACAGTACCTCTCAAATGAACATAAAATAAAGACACAAGGCGGGGATTTACTTTTTGTGGTAAATGAATTAAATTTAGCCACCCCATTGCCTCAAGTTTGCTAACTAACAGAAGATCATATTGACGTGGAAGATTAACATTTCTTCCAGTAACAATAGGTCAGCTGGAGAAGCTTGGAAAAACTAGTTCATCAGTTAAACTGAAAAAATCATCATTCGGATAAGTTGAAATTTGTGGCTATGATCGACGTAGTCGAGGAGTGGAGCTGTCACCATGCGGTTGGCGTGGCACCGAATTAGAGCTTTCACCATGTTCTGGTCGTACTCTTGGGTTAGAGCTTTCACCATGTTCGGGTCGTACTCTTTTTGTTCTTGGTATATTGTCAATATCTGTTCAAAGTTAAGTGAAAATGTGGTTAATATGGAAAGTCAAATATCTGTTGAAGTTCATTATAAATGTGTACAAAATGAAAAGTCAAAATACAAAGTTACCAGATTAATTCTCCAAAATGTGTAACATATGTGAATTACAAATGGTATACACATGTGAATTATAAAGGTTAATAAGTGACTAACTAAGGTTAATAAATGCAATGTGATGAACTAAACTGGTATAAAGTGAGACATAGACATTGCGAGGAAAGAAAAAAAAAATACAGAAACCGGTTGACCAGCCGGTTAACCCACTGGTCAGCCCCCTACTGTTGTATTCGGCTACTGCCCTCTCTTGCCGCCTTGCTGGTTGTGTTGTTGTCTTGCTCAGTCAGACGTCCAGTAGATATAAGTGTTTTGAAGGCAAAAGTTTGAATGTTTAGTGGATAGAGACTGTGTTGGGAGAGGAATATCAATTATGTTGATCTTGTATGTTGGCTGGTGTCTTGGTTCAGGAGCAAGAAGTGTATTTGGTGCTGCCTTGGTGGAGGAGGACAAAGTGTATATAAAGGAGGACGAAGTGTATATAGATGGGTGTTGCAATGAGGTAGGTGATGGAGGGAATGAATTAGGTGAATAGATTAGGCAGGTGAAGTAGGTGGACGGTGTGTGCATATGACCAACAACAAGTCCATGATGGTGTTGAAAGAAAATATTTACAGACAATAATACAATGCAAACTAGTGAGTGACAATAAAAATTAAATGAAAATAAAGGCATTGGAAAAAAATTTATGGAATACATCGAAACTAATTGCCAAAAAATTATTGGAAAAAAAATTATTTGCAAACAAACGTAATTGGAAAATAAATTAATTTAAAACATAAATTGAAATGAAAAAAAATTAACAGGAAAAAAAGAATTGGGTCGTAATTATTTGAATCAAAAATTTATGTGGAGCCAGATTATGCGAACAAAATTTTCATTCGAAATTTTTTTTTATTAAAACGAATTAATAATTGGGAGCAAAATTATTAATTAATTTATTGATTTGTATTGAAAAAAGAGTTTGGTTATGAATGTTGACTAATAAGCTCAATATAGTCAGTCAACCCACCGGCCAACCCACCGGTCGGCCCCCTGCTGCTGTATTCGGCTGCTGCCCTCTCTCGTTGCCTTGCTGGTTGTGTTGTTGCCTTGCTCAGTCAGATGTCCAGTGGATATAAGTGTTTTGAAGGCAGAAGTTTGAATGTTTAGTGGATAAAGACTGTGTTGGGAGGGGAATATCAATTATGTTGATCTTGTTTGTTGGTCAGTGCCTTGGTTCAATAGCAGGAAGTGTATTTGGTGCTGCCTTGGTAGAGGAGGACAAAGTGTATATAGAGGAGTATGAAGTATATATAGATGGGTGTTGCAATGAGGTAGGTGATGGAGGGAATGAATTAGGTGAGTAGATTGGGTAGGTGAAGTAGGTGGACGGTGTGTGCATATGACCAACAACAAGTCCATGATGGTGTTGAAAGAAAATATTTACAGACAATAATACAATGCAAACTAGTGAGTGACAATAAAAATTAAATGAAAATAAAGGCATTGGAAAAAAATTTATGGAATAAATCGAAACTAATTGCCAAAAAATTATTGGAAAAAAAATTATTTGCAAACAAACGTAATTGGAAAATAAATTAATTTAAAACATAAATTGAAATGAAAAAAAATTAATAGGAAAAAAAGAATTGGGTCGTAATTATTTGAATCAAAAATTTATGTGGAGCCAGATTATGCGAACAAAATCTTCATTTGAATTTTTTTTTTTATTAAAACGAATTAATAATTGGGAGCAAAATTATTAATTAATTTATTGATTTGTATTGAAAAAAGAGTTTGGTTATGAATGTTGACTAATAAGCTCAATATAGTTACGATTTATATGTTTGATTATGGGTTATAACAATTTAAATTACAGTTTGAAAACTATTTCCAAAATTCATAACCAAACACATTTTCTTCTTTTACATGTCGCATCAAACTTTCAAATCTTAATTCCAACTTCAATTCAAATCTCATTTCAACACTCTATTCAAAAACCATAACCAAACAAATTTTCTACACTCAAATCATAATTCTAAAACTCACTAACTCAAAATACAACTCAATTCTCAAATCACATTTACAAAACTCTACCAAATGCAACCTCAATTTCTCTTGGTCCTAATGAATTACTAAAGATGAGATGAATGAGAAGAAATGGGAAGGAAGAAAGAGAAATAGATTTCCCTCACAACCTACTTTTTGAATCACTCTAAAATTAGAGAGATTTGGACATAAAAGAAATGGAATGATTACTAATTTTATATAATGCAAAATTGTCTATCTAAATACTAAAGAAATAAAAAATATAAAAGGGTATTTCCGTAATATAACATGTAAGATTTCTTTTATTTTTTTATTTTATTTTGTGTAGTCTATCTAAACAAGGTTGGAAAAAACTCTTTATATTTTATTTTATTTTATTTTTGAGCTAAACTAAATTAAAGGAAGAGAAATCGTAATTTTTTTCCCTTCCTTTCTCTTCTCTCCTAACTTAACAAATCATTTCTTTTCTTTTCTCTCCAAGATATCCAAACATAATGTTATGTCTTTTATGGCATTTGATATTGTATTCCACAAACCTATATTTAGAACAATCGTAAGAACAATTAACAATTAAAAATCAAAATGTGTGAAACATTTTGTTTTGAATACTAAAGAAACATCAAATATTTGTGAAAACTTATCTCTACATATATAAATAAATGGGTTAAATTCATTTTATCACATTGTGGTTTGAGGCCAAAGCATTTTATGTAGCACTTTAGAATCCTTGGCATAATAGAATCATGTCTGACCATTCGATTATCATAATTAAGAATTTTCTTAATCGATATTTAAGCCTTGGATGCGAAGATAAGACATTACCTTAATGGTTAGGTGAGATTGGATAAAAAAAAAAACTCCAAATTCAAATAGTTGTTTTTGTGTAGTCCTCACTCTTCTATCATTTTCTCTCTCCACACTTTCAATCTTGATGTAAGGCTA